TCCGCGTGCGGTAGGCATCATGGTCGGCGTTTCGCCGGCCGTCCAGCAACTTTTTCCGGCAATCCACTTATGACTAGACATGATTTGACTTAAATAACATAAATATGCATAAAGTGTTCGGGACTTGCCGGTTAAAAATTGAAGTTACTCGGAGGGAGCTTATATAGCATCTCCGAGGGCATTTTTCTATAAAACTCGAACCGAACAACGAGATTTCGACATGATCTTCTTATAATGAACTGAAATAAATAAAAAGAGGGTAAACATGAATGTACCCTTTAGTTCGGTCGAGGATTGCACGATGGCTTGCGTGCGGTTTCGGTACTTGAACGTGTGCGTACTCGCTTCTCCTTTGCTTCGGCAATGCTCAACTATTTTTGCACTATTTTTCTACAATATTTCCTTACTATTTTCTCTCTATTTTGGTATGCTGAAATTGGCTGAAAATGCATGAAAATGCACGAGAAAATTCATGGCTTTACTTGGGGTTAAATAGTAAAACCGAATGGGGGTAAGCTTGGACCAAACTTTGGGTCAAGAGGTGAAAGATGATCTTCTTTTCTTGGCTGCCATGTGTCCCAAACGTGGCTGAAGTGTTGGGCACTTTTGGTTTAGTCACGGCCGATGTGGCGCGCATGCACGGGCTTAGTTATCGCCCGTGCGTCCGTGTGTCGCCATGTGTAAGCAAGTAGGTGACTCATAGTCACCACTTGCATGTAACCTCATCCCCTTTGAATATTCCACACGGAAATCCTAAGGGTGTGGATTTGAACTTGGTTTAGTTGATCATTATGCTTAGGGGTTTATAAGCATGCGCTTAGCGCCTAATGGCGTGCGCTGCGTATGCTGTGCGCGGCAATATGCGTGCTGCACGCATTCGCGTGCGCGACTGTGCACACAGCTTGCGTGCATGAGGCACCTTGCGTGCGCTCGAGACTTATTTGGTTTCAACTTCGAACTTAATTCCGAACATGCTTAATTAATAATTAATCCCGATTAATAATGCCCGTTTATAAAATAAACGGTTCGTAAATTAATTATCGACTTTGACTCGATTAACAAGTAACCGGATAAACTTTTCGACTTAAAGTCAAACTCATTTGCTGAAAATGAACGGAATTAATAAAAGATAATACATCATTTATATTAACAAGAAGTTGGGTTATTACAACTTCCGTATCATTCCCCTCCTCTTCAAGACTTTCTTTGTCCTCAAGGATGAGATAGTTCACCACATCCACATCACTACCATCTTTTTCAATGGGGGAACCACCTTGATCTTCAGTTCTCAACTTAATGTGTTTCCCTGGTCGCCCAAACTCTATCTTTACTCGCTTATAATTGGTCGTAATGGGCCCAAGTGTTTCGAGCCACTGCACTCCATCACGATATCAGTTGCCTTATGCGGTAAAGCGTAGAGGTCAATCTCCAATTCTTGCTCGTGGGCCATAATCAGAACTTTCTTGAATAGTTGATTACCTTGTAGTTCTTGCCCATTGGCCACCTTGACCCTAAATTCTTGACCTTGGTGGGTTCAACCTTCAGTCTTCTGGCTATTCCTTCGTCGATAAAATTCAAACTCGACCCACTATCCACCAGTAGCTCTAGCAGCATATCTTTTATCTCGGCAGTAAACCTGATCATCTTAGGGCCCCATTTTTTGCACTTGACCATATGCAGCAAAGTTATCTCAAGCAATTCACTATCACGTTCTTCCTTAAACTCTAACAAATAAACTTCCTTACCTTTGCACTTATGGTCTGGTGTAAATTGCTCCTTGCAAGTATAGCATAGACCCTTTTCTCTTTGCCGCTGCATCTCGTCATCCGTAAGTTGCCGTACGCTGCTCTTGGTGCGTATACCTTCACTGACTGCCAATTTGGTCTCGGCCCATAGGGGCGCCTCATTGGTTACCGCACTCGCGCACCTCAGTTCCGTGCGGACGTCGCCCCGTGTTGCCTTGCGCACGACCGCTATGTGGTCTTCATGCAACCGTGCGGCCTCCATCGTAGCCCTTGTTGACCTTGGCCTATCCAAACGTACCTCCGCAGCTAACTCAACCTTTAAGCCTCAAACAAACGCACCAACAAGTGCACTCTCAGGGCAATCACGTACCCGACTTCCAATCCTTTCAAACTCCTTTTGATAGTCGCGTAGGCTAACAGTTTCGTGAATCCTTGTCAAAGCCTCATCATAATCGAAATAATCACTAGATCCAAACCTGGCGATGAGTTCCTTCTCGAAATCTCTCCATCTGATTTGCTCGCCTTTGTTCTTGTAGACATGTGACACCATTTCCACCATGTGTTGGCTTCACCATCTAAGTAGTAGGCAGCAATTTGGACTCTTTCGGACTTGTGTACCTCATTGATCTCGAAAAACTGCATGGCACGACTCAACCATGCGTCCGGATCTACTCCTTCGAACGTCAGCATCGTAATCTTCAGTCTCTCACGTGCATGCTCCTCGCGATGATGCCGATGGCCGTGAGTCCTTCGATTACCGTGCTGTTGGGTTGTGCGCGTCGCGCACGTCGCCTGCGACCGCTCGTCTTCGTCATCGTGACTAGACGTCGAACTGCCTGTTTTCGCCATGGTTGACCTTGATGTGCGGCTCATCCGTGCGTGGTGGTTTACTCTCTCGAGCTTTCCCGCCAAGTCGTGTATCATGAGCTCAGCTTTGCCATGTTTTCATTGACCACGTGTTGTCCGTTGCCAAGGGACCTCACGCTTTCTTCTAGCATATCGAACCTTTCACAATTCGTCATGACTCTCTCTTTTTTTCTTTTTTTTTTTGATACTCACGAAAAATTTCGAAAAATAAGAAGAAAAATATGAAAAAATTCGAACAAGAGGGGGAAAAATCGGACAAATAGTAAAAAAGAATGGGGTAGAAAAAGTTTAATAAGACACACAATCAATCACTCTCAATGAAAGCACCAATGATGAAGGATCGTATGTTTTGTTCCACTCGCTTGCCTCGAACAATGCGTAGCCACGACCTTGCTCTCAACGATAGGTGTGATCGACTCGATTATTAGCCTAACTCTCTCACGATACTTGAGTTCACTCGGTAATTAGCCTTGCTCCCTCGATTTTGAACTAGCTCGGGTCTTAGCCTC